TCATCTTTCCTTTCCCTGTTTGCCCGAAGGACCGACAGGCGAGCCGAGGCGACCTACCTTGGTACTGAAGAGGGTCGGCACCTTGAAGTAGCCACTCGGGTGGTCGGTCACCACGATGAAGGGCGGCGCCAGGATGTTCTTGAGGCCCCGCGTGAGTGCCAGCGTCAGGAGGCCGATGCCCGCGGACGTGGCGCCCGATTGCCAGGAGATGCCAGTGTAGAGGTCCCAGGACGCCCACACTCCCCTCCAGTGGTTGACGCAACAGACGCAGTAGACGGCGGTGTAGAGTCTGGACACGAGGAGGTGCAGACGGGGGCGCCGCTCATTGTCGCACAGGGTGGCGAGGGGGCCCTGCAGCAGGCAGAACACGAGGCCCGACACGTTGCCGATGGCCAGCGACGTCAGCACCGACAGCTGCTTGTTCCCCGGGAGGAGGTAGATGTCCATCAGCTGCCAGCAGCCCCGCCAGTAGCCCACCACGAGCGGCGCGAACACGAAGATGGACAGCAGGGAGTCGATGACGGCCAAAACGCCCAAGCAGGCGCGCCCTCGACGCCCGCCCGTGCTAGCGCCTCCGCAGCCCGCCATGGCGCCCCAGCTCCTCGCTAAGTACTATCGAGCTCCGGCGAGGCTCGCGATACCTCGTAGGAGGCTCGGGCAAGCGGAGATTTCCCTCGCTCAGGCTCCTCGTGGAGTTCGAGAAGCCCTTCCTCTTCCCAAAGGCTCTGCGGGAAGGCGTTCCTTGCTCCCTGTTCTTTCTCCTTGTCGGATACTTTCCTTCTCCTTCTTCGTGTCTCTCTCTCCGTCGTCTCTCCTTTTCTTCGCTTCTCTCTTCCTCTTCTCCCGCTCCTCTCTCTTCCTCCGCCTCTTCCTCGCCCTACTCGGCCTCGATCCCTCCCCTGCCTCAGCGCAGCGCCGGGGGCCGAAGATAGTGGGTGGAAGGTGGAAGATCGGGGTGGAGGAGGGCGCCGCAGGGGGGGAGGGGCAAGGGTATGTGGTGTGGCAGTGGCTGTGACGTGGACGAGGATGTCCTTAATCGGCCGGTGGGAACAACTGCCCTCGCTCAGTTAGGCTCCCACACACCAGCACACAACACTTGCTCTAGGGACGGAGCACTTAGACCTTTGGGGAAATGCTAACATTTTCCTTCGGGAATTCAGCTCGCGGCGAACCTGGATGCGATGGACCTCGATTCACTTTCTCTCCTCTTTGTTTTCCTCTCTTTTCCTTTGCTTCCGGAAAGAAGTTATTATTCCCTCTTCCGAATTTCTAGCTCGTGCGTTCGAGCGTCCTGCGTACAGTTGGTCTTCCTTCCAAACACGGGGGTGATGGCGTCGTATCTGCCGTGCCGTGCGGACGCCCTCTCCCGCTCTCCCTCTCCTGCGTTGAACTCTTCAGCCGCTCCAAGTTCCCCTCAGACGACACTAGTACGAGGGGAAAGCGTGATCTTTCTCCCCTTCTTGCTGCCTTCGACGAGCTTTCAGCAAGCACGACGCGTAAATTCCCATCGAGACAAAAGAACTAAAAGTTTGTCCTTGAAAACCGACATCCGGGGCGAACACATACACGACCGCACACACTCAAAATACGTATTGCGAGAATCTCTTCTACAAAAAAGGAAAAAAAGAAAAAAGCAAGAATGAATGATAAATTAAAGAGGCTGATCTGCGTGTAATTCGTATAAAAAATTTTACATCGCGATATCCCGCGTCTCTGCACTGGAAGAACACCTCATCGCACACTAAAACATCACAGTTCCTTCCGTTTTTCTCCTCCACCTCTTTCTCCTTCCTCTCTTTTCTTCTCTATATCTATTTCCACGACGAAAAGTCACAAAAATACCCCAATAAAACTACGACAACAATCCAGATAAACAGACAACCCACCCCAAAGACTCCTAATTTGGACGAAACAAAAAGAAATATTCAGGCGCTACGTCACGGTGTGCACAAGGGCGCTCAGGGAAACCAGTCCAGAGCTGCGCCACGAGTCGCGGCGAGGCGGCGAGTGACGGGCCGACGGAGGCGACGCGACGGGCGAGCGGCCGGCGGTTGGGCACTCGCGCTGCCCCTCGCCGAGACAGCGAGAGGAAGGTGGTGCGGGGGGCGGAGGAAGAGGGGGCGCCGAGGGGGAAGAGGGGAAAGGGAGGGGAGGAGTGGGTAAAGGGAGGGTAGCAGGGAGTGCTCGGAGGGTATGAGGGGGTAAAGGGAGGGTAGGAGGGGGTAAAGGGAGAGCAAGAGGGGATGCTGGGAGGGTAGGTAGGGGTAAAGGGAGGGTAGGAAGGGGTGTTCGGAGGGTATGAGGGAGGGAAGAGGGTGCTGGGAGGTTAGGAGGGGGAAGGGGGTGGGAGAGAGATAGAGTGAATGAGTGGAAGGAGAGAGGCGTAGGAGGAAGAAAGGAAGAAAGGACAGAAAAGGAGAAAAAGGCAGAGGGGATAAGCTGAAAAAAGAAGAGGGGGAAGCGGAGCGAGGAGGCAAAAAAGGGGAAGGGGAGGAAGGAG